GCAAAAAGATCCTACATTTTGCATTTTTTAACCCGTGGTTCATCTATATGCTACAGGTTCGTAGCATATAAAATTGGGGGCTCGTTCCGAGAATCTTTTCTCCCTGGTTTTTCACTCAGTAAGACTCGCACAGCTTCAGGGTGTCGGCGAACTACAGGCCCAAGATGTCGGTTATAGATAGCTTTCTCGCATCACTCTCTATGGAGAAATTATGTAAGCTGAAAAAAGATGATATAGTTGAAATAGGGAAGAAATTAGAACTAGAGATAAGGAAGTCCATGAAAAAAACATCAGCTAGTTAGAGTAGTCGCTGAACATATGATAGACAATGACGTCTTCGACGTAGAAGCATTACATCAATTATCGGCAGACGTGTCGGAACTTTCGCCGGCTCAACTTCTGCTCGAGAAAGCGAAAATTGAGCCGAAGCCGAAAGAGCAAAGGCTGAAATTGAAAAGGCTGAAATTAAAAAGGCTAGAATCGAGTAAGAAACCCAATTTCGGGAGTTAGATGAAAGGCGGAAACTTCACGAAGCTAAAAGTAGTGAGTTCGACTTAGCAAAGCAGGTCCGACTTGTACCGCAAATTAACGAGGCCGACGTCGACAAGTATTTCCAGCATCTCGAGAAGGTCGCCTCAAACTTAGCATGGTCCATAGAAACATGGCCGATTTTACTGCAAAGCCCAAGAAGCGTATGCCGCTCTCTCAGTAACAGACTGCGCTGAATATAGCGTTGTCAAATCAGCCATTCTTAAATAATACGTGCTAGTGCCGGAGGCATACAGGCAAAAATTTAGAGCCTGCCGAAAAGGAAAAAAGCAGACATACATAGAATTTTCGAGACAGAAGGAAATCTATTTTGAAAGTGGAGCTTAGCAAAAAAACGTTGAGGCTGATCATGACAGGCTGAAGTAAATGATCCTGATAGAGGAGTTTAAAAAATGTGTCCTTGATGATTTAAAACCTACTGCGATGAGAAGAGGGTAGATAGTGTATCTGAGATGGCCACCCTCGCCAGCGAATATGCATTAACACATAAGCGGGGTAAAATAGTCACAGCAACCCATCCGAGTTTGGAAGCGGTCCACACCCACGACATGGGTCTGGCTCTGGTCCGAATTCGAAGTCGAGTTGTTCGGTTAGTTCAGACCAACCACCTAGGCGAGAGGTACCAACTCTCAAAGTCTTAGTCCTCAGTCAGACGAATAGGAGAGTATGGAAACTCCCAATGTGCCATTAGGACACCTCGTGTCAAATTGTTGGACGAAGTGGAAAGCCGAGTCCCGAGCCCTAAGTCAGAACAGACCCCAAGGGTTAATTTCTTCTGACAAAGTGACCATGGATAGGATATCCATTGACGAAGATGCGAGGGAGGAGTATAGGCCATTTGTGTCTAATGGTTCTGTATCCACCGAGAAAAAAAACCCTGAAGATCTTGCGAGACACTGGGGCGACTTAGTCTCTGATCGTGAAGAGGTTCATGCTGTGTGGATCGAATTCGGCCACAGGCGAATCTGTTATTATACAGGGTGTTAGCGGCAGCTTTGTTAGCGTCCTCCTGCATCGAATCCATCTTACGTCTGGGTTAGTGTCCGGCGGTCCTGTCGAGGTCGGAGTGGTGCCCAGTTTGTCTATGAAGGGTATATACATGTTGTTAGGAAATGAATTGGCGGGAAGAGTAGTTTCGGAACCGGTTGCCTCAGTAGACACCGAAAATATCGAGGTAGAGAATCCCGGCATAATGTGATCCGAACACAGGCTAGAATGAAGGCCGATGAAAAGATAGACGAGGAGAAAATCGATGGGACAATACAGGCCGAAAGTGATGAGAAGAGCCCAGGAAATTCCCCTGGGAGGCCAATTCGGCATTACTAAAATATGTGACAAAATTACTAAGCATTTAATTTGGTCAGGGATCCGGACAGATATGTCTGAGTACTGTCGGAAAAAAAAGTTTTAATTTGTTCATGGAGTCGGCTTGATTCCAACATAGTATGATATGTTAGTCTACGGCCTCTAGGAGTTGAAATTATATATATATATATATATATATATATATATATATATATATATATATATATATATATATCGTAGGCCTTCGTCGGTCAGGGTTGACCATGGGCAGCATTCTATTTATCTGCTTGCTGGAGCATCGACGTCTGTGACTGTAGAGGCCGATGTTGGAGTGACAATCTCTGTTGCAGAGGTCGCATGTGTGTTCTGTTTCTGGTCTGTTGGTCTTCACTATCAGCTTGGGATTGGTCTACAGACGTGTTCTAAGGCGCGAAAGGTTGTGGCTGCCTTCCCGATTCTCTTGTCAAACTCTGCGTCTAAGGAGAGGTTTTCAGTGATGGTGAAGTCAAAGTACGTGAAATGATGGACCGCATTGAGCTCATAGTCGTCAATGGTGATGGCTGGTGGTATTTCGGTACCTTGTCCCTGGAAGTGCAGAAGTTCAGCTCTGCATTTCCCAAACGACTTTTTTACTACGAGGAACAGTGCAAATGCCGGAGATGAAAACTGGCAAAAACCTCTCAATCTCTTCCTATATCTCGACACATTTCTTGTCTCCTCAGATTCAGTTATGAAAAAGTAACATCATGCTTTGAAAAAAATTACTGACACCTTCGGTTTAGAAATATATTAATTGCTGTGTATTCTGGTTCACGGTGATTATCGATAATATCATTTCATATAAGACAAAAGCAATCAACAATGCTATGGCTTATCAGTAATGTGTCTCATCAATCATTTGTGTGAAGCACTCTTGCTTGTTTTCGAATGTATTATAAATCAACGAAATTTCACTCGTCACTTTAACTGAGAAGAACGATGAGAATAAATTTGAAACCATCTGGTGATAAATCAAATAGATTTCAAGAGAAGGAGCTATATCAAATCCTTTTTTAGTTTTATGTTCTTGACAGGAAGTCCCAATGAAGTTTCTGAAGAATATTTCATCACTTCCTTTTAATTCTTATATAAGGAAAGCTATATTCTAGTTTTCATTTCCTTACGTGTCTCTGATTATTGTATTTAATATTCAAACTGAAAAAGAAGTTTTGTTCTTGTAAAGTTTTGGTCCTAAGCTCAAGACTACAGCAGGAAATTTGAAAGAATGAATTTTACTTACTGTGTGGAATAGTAAAGAAGACAGACGAGTCTTCACTGATTTTTAATTTGTCCAATTTATTATACCATTTTGTTCACTTTAAAATATATTTCGTGGCTTAATGGGTTAATTTGTCTACACTTAAATGCTACTCATTTGGAAGATTAGACCAACGTTTTGCACGATTTCATATTGCAAAGCCAAACCGCGATATTGCTTTGTTAACTGTTCGCTTATTATTCTAATTCTGAGGTCTTAACCTAAATCAAAATGATTTTGTTTTTTGCTAAATTTATTTCTAGACTTGAGTGTTTTATCCCACACTATGCATCATTGATTTAAAACGAACCGGTTGAAATATAACAAATAGATGTTTTTGTTCATTCAATCAAAGTATATTTACAAAATTTATTAAACTTTCCATACTCTCGCACGTATGTACATATACATAAGAAAAGAAATATTGTGCTTGCACGGTGGGATCAAAAACGATAACGATAGATGATGATAATGAAGAAGAAGAAGAAGAAAACGATGAATCTATGAAGAAGAAATGAATGAGAGGAAATATTTTTCTGTTATTGTATGCTGCCTTAAATTCTCTTAATATTTAAAGTTCCTTGAATATTATGTTTGCGATGACACTGCCTAATTTTAAATAGAGCTTATATGATATTCTAAATGAAAGTTTGCTTTCAATGTTTAAAACCTCTGACATGTTTTCAAATTTAATATCAATTCCACTTAATAAGATTTTATCCTTCAATCCATGAAATATCTATACAAAATATTCATGGAACTGTCATAAATTACTCAAATGATGCAGAAAAAAAGATGCTACTGTGTAGAGATTGGCGAGTGCAATTTTCAGATACAGAGTACGAGTGATATTGTCTCTCCTTCTGCTTGCAATACTCCAAATACTTAAAAAATGCAAATATTTGCGTGGAATGTAGCATGAAGGCTAACTGGAATCATTTAAAACAATGAATGTTATATTGTGAATTGTTGAGATTCAAAAGGGCAATATTTTTAACCTCCCTGTTTATTAGGAATAAATAAATTAACAGGTAAACTATTCGGAAAAATGATTTTGTGTCGCTCAATTAAGAAAGAAAATTTTTTTATTCTGTGAATAAATATTTTTCAATAGTTTGCATATTACAATTGTGATAATGTGGATAAAATTGGCTAAAACTAATGTAGGTTTTAAATACTATTTAATTTCATTCAATTAAACATTCAATTAAACATTATCAAATTTTAATCAATACAAAGCATTCTATTAAAATGACAAGGAAAGATTAACCTTTGATTACTTTAATTAAGATCAGTAAAACTGGAATAAAATTATAAATGTAAAGCGGTTAAAATATAAAATGTTATAGAAGATTCAATAAATTTTGGTGTAAATTTTATTAATCAGTTGAATTGATCAATTGAATTGATCCATCTATTTTTAGTGTAAAAGACAGCTAAATAATATAAAGACTTGAAAGTGTTAATAAATAATATTTATAATGTTGATAATATAAGAAGATGTAGCATCACATGCTGTCGTAATGCGTTTTGGTCAACGAGCATTTTTAAGAAAATGTTACATAGATAATTAAATTAAATTGAAATAAGAAGCGCAGAATATATATTGTCCAAATCACTTGTAAAATAGGTCAACAACAACAACAATTTCAACTATTTAAAAATAATGCGCACTTCTATAATTGAATAAAAGAAAGTTGGTCAATGAATTAATAAAACAAGCGGGAAAAATTGAAAAATCAAAATAGTTGAGGAAGACACTTCAATGGACATCATCTGAAAGTGAAATTCTTGGGATGAATGATGCAAAATGCGATTGACAATTACCCAACCATAGAAATATGCATGATCAAGTGATGAAAGATGCTGGCAGTAATGGTAGGGATGGTATTAAACAAGTAGGGCTGGAAGTAATATGTTGAAGACGGAAAAGGAAAGAAAACGTTGTATTGCGACCAAAGTAAAGATAACCATTAACAGATAGACAGTCAGATAGATAGATAGATAGATAGATAGAGAGAGAGAGAGAGAGAGAGAGAGAGAGAGACAGAGACAGAGAGACAGAGACAGGCATACATAAAAACAGTGAGTTTGCAGGTGTGTGGCTGGGTGTCAGTAAGAAATTTATACACAAAAAGACAGAATGACGTAGAAAGAGAGATCGATGTATTAAAAAACAACCACCAGAAAGAAAATGGAAAGGAGAAAATTCAAGGAGGAGGAGAAAGTGAGTGAGTGAGAGATATAAAAGTAAAGAAACTTAACGAAAAATAGCGAAAGAAAGAAAAGAAACAAAGGAAAAAGAAAGGGGGAAACTGAAATACTGAGAGAATAATATATCTAAACACAGACATGATTTAATGAAATAGAAATGCAAAACAAAAAGTAAAGAAAGAAAAAATTGACGAGGTGGAAAAATCCAAAAAGAAAGAATATCAGAAAATTAAGAAAGAAAAAAAGAAAAAGAAATGAAAAAAACAAAAAACAAAAAAAAAAACAAAAGAAAAAGAGTATAAAGCAAGAAAAAAAATAACAAATATGAACAACCTTTTTTACCCCCATCCCTTTACCAGTTTCTCGATAGCCTCCCACCAGAGTTGCATACAAGCCGCATTGCCCGAAATGAAGGGTTCAAACCAGTGCACTTCTCAATGAGTATGGAGGACTTCGTGCTTTCTTCACTGTGGTGGCCGCTTCATCTTTTGAAGTAGTTGCCTAAATTGTATGCTACGTCATATGTGACGTAATTAACGTTCTGACTGCACCTCCTAACAATACACCGTCGTTCCTTTTCTTATTTTATTTCATTCTCTTTCAGCCAATTGAATCTTAATTTTTCTTTTCCCTCTCCTTTTAACATTGATTGTTCAGTTTTCTTTGTTCTATTTTTCATTCCATTTTTCTTTATTTCTTTTGCTTTCTTTGTTTTATTTCTACTATTTCACTTTTTCTTTTTTCCTTTACTTTTTCCTCTTCCTTCATATCTATTGCTTCTTCCATCTTTCGATTTGTTTTGCCATCCTCTTTGCTTCTTCTTTCCTCTTTGTCTATATTTTTCTCTCATTTTCCATCACTTTCTCGCTAGACTTCCTTTCTTCAACTCCCTGCTCACTCTATTTTTCCTATTGTTTTTCCTCATGCAATATCATCGCTGTTTCTCTATGTTACACTTCTCTTAATGAGCACCAACAGTCTTTTCCGTGCTCCTCTACTTTCCATTCATTGAAAATATTATTATTATATTTTCCCAACTTTATGTTCAGTTATTTGTTTTATCTTTCTCATTCTCCGTTCGTTTCTTAATATAAATCTGACTACTGTTCAAATCCTACTCATCCTGAACTCCATGGACAGAAGCTCAATATTTGTACTTCCGAATCACCCATCACTGATATTTTTTATTCGTGACGTTCATTTATTTTTTGTCATTATTTCGAAGAGCAGTTCACATATCAGCTAAGAGGCCATAATGAAAGGAAAATAATGAAAAAAAAGTATGCTTGTACCTATATATATATATATATATATATCTTTATATATATATATATCTTTATATATATATATATATATATATATATATATATAAAATCAATAGATATATTAAATTTATATATATATATATATATATTAAAATTATGTATATATATATATAAAAAATTATGTATATATATATTAAAATTATGTGTATATATATATATATATATATATATATATGTATATATATATACAAGTTTAATTGAATATGAAAGACAAGGTGCTTTGATTAAGTTTTTATACAATTTCTCATGTGATTTTATAATTTTAAGATAAATTATGTAAAAACTGTCCAATTTTTTCGAGCGCTTTCGGCTATACAATGAGCCATTTTCAAGGTTGAAACAAACTGTTAACAAAAAATAGATTGTTGTAAGTATGAATTTATATAATGTTTTATTGTCAAAGCACAGTCAAGATATTGTGTCTATGTTCACAAAAGCACAAAAGTAAAAACAAACCAAGGCATTCTTGCGTCACTTGATGTAGAGAATCCATTTACTAATATTACCGTCAAAGAAACTATCATTAATTCCGTGTATAAAAATAATTTAATTTCACCTCCATCAATCCAGCGCAATATTTTAAGAAAACTATTGCTCGCTTGCATCACTAGAGATCCTTTTTATAGCCAGAATGGTAATATTTACACACAAACTGATGGAGTAAGTATGGGAAACCCTCTCGGACCGTGCTTCTCCAATTATTATATGTCCTATGTTGAAAACAAGGTTTTTACTAAAGTTATTAAACCTAAAATATATGTTCGTTATGTAGACGATATATTTATTTTAGCAGATAAGAAAAAGGAAATTGAAAATCTGAAAACCACATTTCAACAAAATTCCGTTCTAAATTTTACATATGAAGTTAGCGAAAAAAATTAAACTCCCTTTCTTAGATGTTCTTGTTGATTTTAGTGATAATACATTTACAACTTCAGTTTATAAAAAAACAACTAGTAAAGACTCTTGTCAACTTAATTTCTCTAGTGAATGCTCTTTTAGATATAAAATAGGGGTTATTAAAAATTTCCACAAGAGAGCTCACGAGAATTTATCCTTTCGCATGCTTTTCTTTAAAGAATTAAATAGCGTAAAACAAACACTTATTAATAACGGATTCCCTAATCAATTGTTGGGTTTCCGTATTAGGCTTTTTCTGTCTAAGGTAGCTAAAAGCAACGACGAGAATAGAAACATAAAATATAACATTAACATTTTTTATAAAAATCGGGTAAACGAAAATTACAAATAAGATGAAACTAGAATTAAGAACATTATAAAACATGCACAACACCAGTTGACAATAGCAAAAAAATTAGACTATTTATTGCATGAATTTAAAACAGCCAGCCTTATAGTTAAAAACAATAATTCACCTCTTAGAACAAAATTAAATAGAGAAATATTATTTACGAAATAATTAAGAAATTGTATTCCTGATCAATCAAAATTCGTAAACAATTATATAGGCCACACTACAACATGTTTGACAAGAAGACTCACATTACATCTTCTTGATCATAGCTCAATTAAGTCTCATTTAAATACTCATGGAGACCTAGTAGACCCTATTCATAACATATTTGTTGACAACACAAATATAATAGCATCGTCTAAATGTAAAAAAGGATAAAAGTAATAGAAACCTTATTAATAAAAAAAAAACAACACTGAATAATATCAACTATGAACATGGACACAATATCTTGACTGTGTTTAAAAAACAAACAAAGAAAAAAACATGTCAAAACTAATATCAGAATTCTTTTTTCATATATTCCATAATCACTTCAGTCATTCCCCAGCGCGTTCCCCTCTATCCGTAAAGACATTTTGCCTAGCCTCCAACAAAATTTAGTTACTTATCACTTTAAATGTCAGTGCTATGCTGACTATGTAGGTAAAACAGAAGCAACAACAAACAACGCGATATATAAAATGGCGACAATCGCATCCCGTATTTATAGAAAAGACAGAGGGAAGCCACGTCACGGAAGTGGGAAAGTGACCGAAGTCTAGATTCTAGTTCATGACCTTTCTTATGCCAGTTCATGACCTTCTTACATACCTTTCTTCGGATTTTTAAAAAAATAATTTCAGACATTTTTTATAACTAGATATTATTATGTGTTGTTGAGAACTTTTATGTGTAAGAGGAATATATTCATCCTTGTATGTGTGAAGTTGATGAGTAAAACAAGAGATGAATCGATAGAAACTCATAGAAACACTGTTAAATATATGAATAGATAGCTGCATCATTTTCAAATAGACAGTAAGCTTTCATGTCTCATTCTCTTCGAATTCAGTTTTTTTTTTACTTCCTGTTAACAGATAAACGATTAGAAAGCCTTTCTAGCGACCTATGCACGCATTTTTTCTTTGGAAGAATTACAGTGTTTTGATGTAAAGAAGACTGTAAAATACGTAAACTTTTGTAAAGGGTTTCAGGTCAGAGAGAAACGAAAATTCAGTTCTCAACTCGGTATCTATACTGAAGAAACTATCATTTATTCGTATCTTAATAGTAAGTCTGAGCGATTTAATAAAGTCAAATTGTTAACTGATCCAAAAATTCATCTACATTCTGTTGTTAACTGGGGGAAAAGGAATTGCTTGTTAATATTAACATCTCCAAAACGAAACTACTATCTTTAAATTGTCTGAGAGAACCATTTTTACTTTCCATCAATATGGCTGATGCTAACATTTCAGAAAAATGATACATTGTGCTTTCTCGGACTAATTTAGAGATTCTTGATTAAATCCAAAGAAGAATCTGAAATGTTATTGATCCTGACCTGGCATCTCGGTTTCAGTCACTTTCCCATTGCCGTAATGTAACTCACTGTGCCTTTTCTATAAATACTTTCATGGTAATTGTTCTGATGAACGTTCCTCTATGCTACCTAGCCTTAATGAATTTAAGGGCAGTACTGAGTTGGCGGCAAGCTCTCATCATTCTACAGATGAAATGGCTAGATCTAATCGTAAGTTATATGCTAACAGTTTCTTATTGCCTTGCTCGGGGTGAAATGATTAAAAAAACACTCAATCGAATATTCGCACATTCAAACATTCATATACACGAACGGATATAACTGCAAAATAGAGTTTGATACACGTGTAACCACATGCAGAAAATATGTGTGCACGTATATGTAGATAATTTATAGGCTCGAATTTATAAAGGCATACATGATGAAAAGATAATGAAAAGAACAAACACGAACGCACAAAACATATATAAATACTTGGCCGATAAAAAAAGACATCTGCAAACACTTATTTACAGTAGGTTAAAAACAGATGAATACACTCTTGCCCACACGCTATAGTAACGGAAAACCCAAACACAAAAATCCAGTAAAGTAATAGCCAGTCATACAAAGAGGTCATTTTGATAAGTGGTCTCTTAACACTCCTGTTTTGTACATATATCGGGTAAAAACAATTTGCAAAACATTGCTTCATATCTCAAATTAGACAATGTTAAGATGATTAGCAAAGAGATTATGTGCCTTTCAAAATAGCATCAGCAGAAAATGACTGTATGAAACGTTAGAAACTATTTAAATCCTTTTACTGATGTAGTCTGATTTTAAGTAAATTCATTATTCTAAACAATTTATAGATGCTTGTGGCGAAGTATTTCGATATGGTTAAGAAGATGTGACACAACAGAACATAGAAACTGAAAAAAATTATAGAAATAAGAATGAATTATGTAATTCTCGAAAATTCTTCAAACGCGAACGATATAGCCTTTGTGTAAAATATAGAAATGGCTATAATGAAGACAACCTTTGTGTGAGCCTTGATAATTAGAAATGACGAATAATAAAAAAGTATCTTACCTTAAAACACTGTGAATAGTTGGGTATGCCCATGAGATGATAAATTTGATGAAAATGACATGACATGTCTTCTGAAATGATTAATCTAATTATTAATAAAAAAAAACATATCAAATGAAGTATTAACATATACCTGACAAATAATCAATGGTATGAAATGATAAAC